AAAATAAAATAAACCTTTTTTCTTCCCATGTTGCTTTTGGTCATGGTGTTTTAGTACAGCAATAGAAACTCTAACACACATACACACATACACACATACACACAAATAACGAATAACAAAAAAATATAATAAAAATTTTTAAGTCAGACATAGCAGTGCATACCTGAAATTCCAACACTTGGAAGGGTGAGGCAGGAGGACTGCTATAAGTTATAGGTCAGCCTGAGTCACCAGGCCCAGCTGCAGATGATGCTTTAAGAGCTCTCATCTCTGAAGTCTCTTTCACCTAGATACTTGGATTACAATGATAAAATCTGAGAGCTCTCCTTTAACCTACCCTGGAACACATGCACAGACATGTGCATCTATGCACACATACATACACACTCTAATATAATACATTTGCAGATCTCATCATTTAAGAGTCAGCATTTAATTTAGTATGACTTAATACTACTGATGTGTTCCCAATCCTTCTTTTGAGAATGAAACCAAAGCCCAGAGATCGGATAATATGCCCTAGATAACACTTAGGACATTTGAGCTGTGTTAAATATATTAGAGAGAAAGAATAAATAACGGAAGATAATCAGGAAAAACAGCAGATTTGTCTAAGGGATTTGATTCATGTCTAAAAATCAATATTGAGCCATCAAAAACTTTTTTTTTCTTTTTTTTTTTTTTTTTAACCAATAAGATTGGGAGGGGTTTTCCGGCAAGAGCCAGAAAACCTGCTAGACTAATTCTAAAAGAGCTGTAACCCATCAAAAACTTTTGAAGGAATAAACTACAGTAGCTGGGAACATAACAAGAGGCTCTACATTCCATACTCAGCACAGAAAGCTTGGGGAAGACTATTCAGTTGGGAGCTACATATCAGGAGGAATGAAAACAAGAAGACAAAGAGAGAAATAATGTTTTCTCCAGATAAGAGTGAAGAAGGCTGAAGTACAACAAAAGGAACAGATTCACATGTCTTCAAGATTCAGGATCAAGTCCAGGAACAAAGGAATACTGAAGATGACTGGCATTTTTTCAGGCTGGCTAACTGGAAAGATGGCTGCTTTCACAAAGACCCTCAGGGCACTAGCTGACACTAATCTTTCCTGGTCTTTCCCCCACCCTTTCCTCTTCCTTCTCCTCTGTGCTAGTGATTCAACCCACAGCCTATTTACATCAGGCGAGCATTTGATCTTCGAGCTACACTCCAGCCACATCTATTTCTTTTCTTTTTGTTGTTTTTGTTCTTCTGATTTATTTTATTTTATTTATTTATTTATTTTTTTGAGACAGGTTTCTCTGTGTAGACCTAGCCATCCTGGAACTCGCTCTATAGACCAGGCTGGCCTTGAAGTCTGATTCTCCTGCCTTTGCCCCCTGAGTGCTGGGATTAAATGTGTGCACCACCACCGCTGCTCCCATTAATTTCTTACATGCATAGTTTGCTACCTAAAGGGACTGGAAGAAAATGGGTCCCCGTTTCCTTTGCACTCAACACTAGATAATCTGCCCCTCAGCTCACCTAGGTAGTAAATACTTGGTAAGTAGAAATCACATTCTCCATGGTAACAAATGCAATTTTATTTTACTGCAAAGCTTAACTTGTACTCTTGATCATTCTGCCTCTATACTGAACACAGGTATATACCACCATGCCCAGCTTGAGCTGAAGAAACTTTGAACAAACACTAGTAGTTAAGGACTGGAGACATAATACTTCAGTGAGGCCCTACTTTCAATTAACAGTACCAAAAACAAACAATACCAAAAAGCTAGTAGTAGGCCAGTCTGAGGATGATGTGAGATCACATCTGTAATTGAAGAACTCGGTGGAAGGTTGAGGCAGGAGGATGCAAATTTGAGGCTAGCCTGGCTTCATATCAAGATCCTGTCTCAAAAACAGAGATAGGGTGCAGCAAGATAGTTGAGCAGGTAAGGGTACTTGCAACCAAGACTGATAATTGAGATCAGTCACTGCAGTCTTCACAGTGAAAGGGGAAAGCCAACTCCTGCAAGTTGTCCTGTGACCTCCACACATGTGCATGTAACATGGGCACTCACACACATATACATACATACATAAAATTAATAAATATACTTTTTTAAAAGGAAGAGGGATGGGATATAGATTACTTGACAGAGCACATAGCATGCATAAAACCCAGGATTCTATGCCCAGGACTGCATAAAACTGGGAATGATGGTACAGGCCTATAATCTCAGCACTTGGGAGGTAGAGGCCAAAGGATCAGATGTGCAAGGATACCTTCTACTACAAAGTTAGTTCCCAGACTAGGCTATATAAGACCTATCTTTAAAAAAAAAATACACAGGCAAGCGGGATGGCCCAATGAGTAAAGGGACTTACTGCAAAATCCTGATGACCTGAGTTCAATCTCTGGAACCCATGTAAACATCTAAGAAGAAAACTGTTTCTACAAAGTTGTCCTCTGATCCCCAACATGCCCCCGCCACATATATACATCATATAAAGACACACTAGAATCAAAATTTAATAAAAAGGAAAAGGTGAGTGGTATAGCCGGGCGGTGGTGGCGCATGCTTTTGATCCCAGCCTTCGGGAGGCAGAAGCAGGTGGATCCCTGAGTTTGAGGCTGGTCTACAGAGTGAGTTCCAGGACTACCAGGCTTACACAGAGAAACTCTGTCTCCAAAAAAAATAAATAAATAAAATAAAAAAATAAAAATAAAAAAAATTAAGTGGTAAAATGTGTATGAGGATTCTAAAAGAAATATTAAATTCCTCATAGCATGAAGAATAACAAAGAGACATGAGAACAAATCCTGGCCAGGTCCTTAGGAAGGCCATTGGGGAATGGAAATTAGCAGGATGTGGAATTGGGTTACAGATCCTGAGCACAAGACTTCCTGGCATAAACAACTCTATTCACAAGAAGTCCAAACTATCAATTTCTCCGAGCTCAACAAAGTACTTCATTGTTTATTTAATGGATGACTTAGAACTGATATTAAAACCCACCAATCTTAACTATACTTAGGTATGAAAATATACATACAAACAAGAGCTATATACTCACCATACCATTGCCTTGCCCAGTCCACTCATTTTCATTCATTTATTTATTTACCCGCCCATTGCTGGAATTGTAAGTATGTGCCTCCACATCCTGCTATTCTTTTCCTTCTAAATGGAAATCATTGTAGCGAAGATGATAAAAGAAAAGACTGTAGTAAAGAGGTTAGGGTCAAGAAAAGAAGGGAGAAAAGCTCCAACGGCTCAGCTGGCCTCTCCTGCTGGGCATGCAGCAGCTCTGGCAGCAGAGGAACACGGTATGCCAGAGGATCAGATGCCTGCCCTCCAGTAGACCTTCCACAGCCTTCTTTCCCCACATAGACTTTCAAAATCACTAACTCAGTCATTTTCTTCCTTCCTTCCCTTCTTTCATAGGAAGTTTCTCTTTGTTTGTTTAATTTTGTTTTGTTCTTAAAGTCAAGGTCTCACTATGCAGCCCTGGCTGTCCTGGAACTGTGTAGACCACCTGCCTCTGACTCTGCTGGGGTGAAAGGTGTGCACCACTATGCCCGGCTCAGGACAACTTTTCTCTAAAACCCTTATAAGCTTGGGGCTAAAGAGATGGCTTGGTGATTAAGAGCACTGGCTACTCCTGAAGAGAATCTTATGCTGTAACTCCAGTCCCACAACTGCTGGCTTACACAAGCACTGGCATACCTGTAGGCAAAAGACTCATACTCATCCAGGTGTGGTGGTCCATGCCAGCAATTCTAGCACTTGGATGGTAAAGCATGAGGAGCAGGAGTTCAAGGTCAGTTTCAGCTGTGTAGTGAGTTCAAGGTCAGCCAACTCTACAAAGACCTATGGGGGAGATTTCTTACATAAACTATTTATGTTTAAATAGTGACACCTGTAACTCCAGGTCTTGAGGCCAGCTTGAGCACTTCTGATATTACAAACATCTTATACAAATATCCTACTTAAATACATATTAAATTATATTGTCTTGTGCAATTTCATTTGGAAGCACACTTACCTCATTAATGTATCAAGTTAATTAAAGTGAGAAATATTCATATATTTATTACTAAAAAAGATACTCAACCTTTTAAAAAAGATTCTATTTATTTTTATTTCAGGTATATAAGTATTTTGTCTGTGTATATGCATTTGCACCACATATATGCCTGGTTCCTACAGGCACCAGAAGAGGGTGTTAGATTCTCTGGAACTGGAATTTACTAATAGCTGTGGCTGGGAACAAAACCCCTATCCTCTGCAAGAGCAGCCAGTACTCTTAATTGCTGAGCTACCTCCAGCAAGTAAAATATAATATTAAAAAAATTTTAATTAAATTCATTTCATGCATGCATATGTTTATGTGTGTGTGGAGAGGGAGAGGAAAGAGAGAGATACTGCATCTTAAGCATAAAAAGAGATCAGTGAAAGTCTAGCTAAAAGCAGAGGCAATATTATATTTTCTTCCTCTGCCATATGGGACCCAGGGGCCAAACTCAGGCCAGCAGGCTTGGGTCAGGCACCTCACCCTCTGAGTCATCTTACTGCCCAAGCCTTTTAAATGCAAAGACAATTCTCAACAGCAAACTATATCTCCAAAATGAGTACTCATGGTTTAGGGTGGAAAGTTTTATGCCATAATTTTGCTGTTATTTTTATTTGCTGACTTAATTACAATTCTTCAAAAAGCAATTAAGTTAAATAACCACATAGAGACCAGCCTTCTATCTCTGACAAATTACTAATCACAGTAGCAAACAATTATTATAATGACCTAGTACTGACGTTCTGGTGAGAAAAAAGCAACTTGAGAGGGGAAGTTGCCTTATTAAATACTTATTAATTATAGGAAATTAAGTTGTAATGGAGAGAAAAAGACCAAGAGCCTAGCTAAACCCCAGCAAGATGTACTGCAAGATAAAGTACTACCGTAGCAAGCCTCCAATAATGTCTCTTACCGATCCTGGGGAGACTGGAAAATCCATTACCTGAGGATGTTGGGATGGGAGAGTCTATTCATGAGCTGCATCTCTTTCAGCAGGTTTGCTCGGTTACTGCTCAGTGTGTTCATCTTGAGAGCCATCACCTGACCAGAAGCTCTGTGTCGCACCTAGGAAGTAAGAGTAAGAAAGTCAAGGGCGGCAGCTATATATGACATCAGAGTCTCTACTTGTAGAGCATACCAGAATGTTTTAGTGCCAGTTTAGGTAAAATAAATAAATGTGAACACATGGCCAGTTTGGGCCACATCGTGAGATATTGTCTCAACAAACAATTACATTTGTCTCATTCCACTAATCAAGATAAATTTATCTCATCCAAAACCAAAATTGCTCTACACCTAGCTGGCCAGAAATGTAATATTAATCATATCTTGCGTGTTTTAATGGGTTTTTTTGGGGGGAGAGGTAGGGGAGAATTGGGACACAGGCCCAGATTGGCCCCAAACTTCCCATATATCTGAGGATGAACTGAATACCTTATCCTCCTGGTTGGATTACAAGCACCTGACATCACATGCAGCAAGGATGTGATTAGGCTATGTATCTCTGAATGGCCGGGAACTCAACTCTGTAGCTTGTCTAACTGTAGCTTCATGCAACCTCCTGACTCAGCCTCCAAGTGCTAGAATTATAGGCAGGAACCACCACACCTATGAGGACTTTTTTAGGCTACTTCCTTAAGGCCAACATTAGTGACTTAAGATACTAGAAGGAAACAGTCCCTTCTGTCGATTTTTATGTGTGGGGGAGGGAAGAAATGAGTAAGCCTTATGTAACAGTGAGCTATAAACTGTCTTTATAAGACACTTTCTAAGGTACAAGAATGACACACTTTTAGTTTACACTGGGCGCCATAAAAATGTATGTCTAAGAGAACAAAAACAGGGCTGGACATGGCTCACAAAGTCCTGTGTTTAACCCTAGTGCGTGAGACACATGAGCATGCACGAATGCATGTGCACACACACACACAGGCACGCATGCATACACACACAGGGTGGGGGTCAGAGAGAGAAGTTACACATAGAAGGAGGTCAGTGACTCTTTAAGAGCATATGCTGTAGTAGCACAACTCAAAACACTTAATAATTATATAAATACTATATGGATACCATAAACATGGGTCATACCACTTACAGTATTATCCATACACACAATGGAGAGTCTATTTCTAGAAGCAGATGCCCACTACAGAATTTATTTCATTTTATTGATGGGAATTATATTCTTCATACACTTCATAGGTTTTATTTAAAAAACTGTCATTTTAGGCCAGGAGTGGTGGTGTACACCTTTAGTACCAGCACTAGGAAGGCAGGGGCAGAGTTCAGTCCCCAGGCTCTGGGTTGGGTGGCTCACAACCAACAGGAGGATCTGATGCCTCTGGCCTCCACACACATGTACATACCCATACCCAGACACAGATGCACATAATTGAAAATAAAACCTTTTAAAAAAGAATAAATTCTGGGTCAGTGTGGTGACTCAGTAGGTAAAAATGCTTAATCCAAACTTGGTGATCTGAATTCAATCTCAAGGACCCACACAGAGGAAGGAAAGCACACGTTACCACAGTTGTGTACACACACACACACACACACACACACACACACACACGATATCAATAAATTTAAGTTTTTAAATATAATTTCAGAACTGATACAGCAGGGGCGTGCAAAACAAAGCTATTGCCATTCTGTGAACTTCAGTTTCATGTATCTGTTAACACAGGACATGGCACAGCTTATCTTGTACTTAAAGCATCAATGGTTTGCGCTGGCCACAGCAGAAGAGAAGAGCTGGAAAGCTACAGAAGCCATAGAAGGCCAGAGGCAAAGGCTGGCAGACTTTCCCCTCATCTAGATCCTCCTAGAGATTTGGAAGCCAGCTCCCTTCTCAGTGCATCACGGATACTGTTGTCGTGTACCCCGTGATTGATGAAAGAGAAGTGGCTTTCCTTTCTAGATTCTACATGGATAAGTTAAAGGAGATCTTTATATACAAAGATCTCGATGGCAGTATTTTTCCAGCACTCTTCACAGAAAACACCCATGTTTTAGTGGGGTTCTCCATCTACTGTCACTTTCCCCCTCCCATCATCTGAAGACTGTTACCCCTGAGATTCTTGCTATCATTTTTGAAACAGAGTTTTGAGTGGACTGGGACTCATCACAGAACACAGGATGGTCTCCGACTTGCAGGGAGTACTGGACTAAAGTAGGTGCCACCATATCTTGGTTCACTCTGAATTTTTCTTTTCCTAGTTTTCAGGCTGACCTCTAACTCAGAGATCCACATGCCTCCACTTCTCTGAATTAAAGGTCTACACCACCACTGTCCAGCACACTCTGAACATTTTAATAAAATGTTCAATTCTAAGAATATTTACTTAACCACAGTACTTGGGAGACAAAAGCAAGTGGATCTCTAAGTCTGAGCCCAGCCTGGTCTACAGAGTAAGTTCCAGGACAGTCAGGGCTACACAGAGAAACCCTGTCTCGGAAAACAAAACAAAACAAACAAAAAAGAATATTGAATAATAAAACAAGTAACATTCAGGGACAAGCAATTTGTCTTCTCCACCCTCCCCCCCCCCCCCCCCGGTTTTATTTGGTTTTGTTTTAAAGACAGGGTTTCACTACACAGCTCTAGACCAACATAACCTTGAATTTACAGATAAGCCAGCCCCTGCCTCCCAAGTGCTGGAGTTAAAGATGAACTGTAATTTGCTTTCTTGTTTGTTTGCTCTTTCTTTAAGATTTATTTTGGTTAGGTAGTATATACCTTTAATCCCAGTACTCAAAAAGCAGAGGCAGGTGGATCTCTGTGGCCAGCCTGGTCTACATATCCAGGACAGCCAGGGTCACATAATAGAGTTTCTCTCAAAAAAAACATTTTAAAGGTATATTTATTTTCTCGTATGAGTGTTTTACTTGCATGAATATATCATATGCATAGCTGGTGTCTGAGGAGTTCAGAAGAGGCCTCAGATCTCCTGAAACTAGAGTTAGGAATCATTTTGCGTCCTAGGAATTGACCCCAGACTCTACAACAACAACAAGCACTCTTAACCACTATGCTATCTCACCAGCCCAACCCCCACTTTTTAAAGACAGTTTTACTATGTAGCTCTGGCCATTCTCAAACTCAATATGTTATTATGCCTGGCTTTCAGTGATTTTAAATTTCTTTATTTAGTGTATGCATGTGTGTGGGGGCAATAGATGTGGAAGTCAGAAGACATCTTTCAGAAGCCAGTTCTCTCCTTTCACCATGTGGGTCCTCAGGCTTGGCAGCAAATGCCTTTATCTGATGAGCCATCTTCTCAGGCCTATTTACCTTTTTATTTATTCATTTTTTTACAGTGTCAGGGAGCAAAACTAGGGCTTTTCACATGTTAGGCAAGTATTCTACCATTGAACTATACTTGCAGCCTCAATGGCAACAAGTGATACCGGTCAAATACTAATCCATATGATTGGCTGATTTTCTTTTAGACATGGTCTACTTAGCCCTCGTTAGTCTGAAACACCCTATGAAGACTAGTCAGGCCTCAGACTCACAGAGATTCTCCTGCTTCTGTTTCCCAAGTGCTGGGATTATAGACAAATGCCACCAAGGATCCTGTGTTCTTCCTACTCTCTCTCTATATATTTTCATTGACTTCAGCAGCAAGTAGGTAGTGATTGCTTGGGTCTGTGGGGAAAGGGGAAGCACAGTGCATGGAGACTATTTAAATTAATCCAATTAGGGGGCAAGGCTAGGAAAGGATGGAGGGGAAACTGTGGCCAGGATATAAAATAAATAAATTTTTTAATTAAAAAATAAAAATAAAATAATCTAAAGTTAATTACTGGTAATGACTACACAACCAACTGAATATTATCAAAATCTTCTCTCTCTCTCTCTCTCTCTCTCTCTCTCTTTCTCTCTTCTCTCTTTCTTATTCTCTTGAAGCAGCATTTCTCTGTGTAACAGTTCTGGCTGTCCCGGAACTCACTTTGTAGACCAGGTTGGCCTCGAACTCATTGACAAGCAAATAAAATGACAGTTAAGTGCTGCTGAGATGGCTCAGCAGGTAAAGGCACCTGCCACCAAACTGATATCTGAGCTTGTTCCTTCAGACCCTCATGGTGGAAGGAGAGAAATGACTTTCTTGAAATGTCCTCTGACTTTCACATGTGCACCATGTATGGACAGAGTGCATACCCACACACAAACAAATTAATTGTAAAAAGCAGGAAAAGTTGATAGAGAAACTTTAGTTCAACTACAATATTTATGAATATTATTCACGTATATTGACATTTTAATCATATTTAAAAACAAAGTACAAAGAAAACTATTCAAGTTTGGAGCTAGGAGTATCACTCAGTGGTAGAGTTGCACACTAAGCAAGCTCAGGCCTTGAGTTTGATCCCCAGTTCATGGGCATAAGAGACAACAAAGCAGGGTGGGCAATATTCAACTGTGAACAGCATATGAAAAACTATCTTAAATTTAAATTAGCATTTATTAGCTGTTGTTTACACACACAAAAGGTATTTGCTGGAGATGATTAATTTGAAGCCAGGCATAGTGGTTCACACCTTTAAACCCAGCACTTGAGAGGCAGAGGCAGGAGGATCTCTGTGAGTTCAAGGTCAGGTTGGTCTACAGAACAAGTTCCAGGTCAGCAAGGGCTACATATGGAGACTCCATCTCAGAAAATCAAAATAAATAAAAAGGCTACTTGGACTTCTAGTCAGTAAGTCACAATGAGTGTACAATAAATATACAGAAAGCTGGTAATAGAAACATTAATATCAAACAAATTACAGTTCAAAGCAACTCATTTGGGAGGTGTGCTCAAGGTTTTCAGGAGAGCGTTCTGGTTATAGGAATGACCAGGGCTAAGGAGTGCTGCTGGCCAGAGATGCTTGACCAAAGTCATCTTACAAGGTACAGGATGGTCCTGCATAAGCATCATTCCATATGCTCTCTAAAACTCAAGTGACTTGCCAGTTATTCATGTAGTTGAAAAAATAAAACAGAGCTGTTTGATCTGAATCTCTTATGTAAAAAAATAAATCTATCTTGAATGGTTTTAACACATACTCATTTCTTT